AAGAAATAATTTACATTTTCTATTCAATTTATTTTATTGTTGTACAATTATTTCTATGTTTATCATTCACATTGCCGCGATTAGTAATCATAGTGTAAGAAACGGCAAATTTACATAAATAAAATGAATAGTAAAACGAATCTATTGAATGATTTTACAATAATTCATACGCATACGTTTACAAGAATTTTTACGGCGTAACAATACAAGTCACATGTGTATGAACTTCGATTGAAATTCTTTATAATTTCTTAGACCTTATTACTAACTTTTAGGAAATTTCTTAGATTGTTTGTGTAATGACGCATACGGATTAGGGGAAGTATTGTTGGCTGTCTCGCGAGGGCGCGTTTACTTGGTTTTTATGAGGAAGTGTTAGAAGAGCTTTAAGGCAATGGTTTCGCTCGAGATATCATGCACACGTTATCAAAACGCTGAAAGAATTACGGGAATTACGGGATTAAAAAACCGCACAGATAATGTTAGTATGTATTTATTAACAAAGGATAAGCGCAAGAGGGCACAGAGATCATATATAATTCATATGTCCTTAATCAGAATGCTATGACAAATTTGCAAAAGCAAATGACGCATGGCTTACTGTTTACCATAAAAATATCTATGAAAAGCTAAAATCCAGAACATGTCGATCATGTCTGAAGATGGTTACTTCCCCACTTCGCTTCCCCACTATAAACGTGTTTATAACGATGAACTACTTAAACAAAGTTGTTTTGAATCTTAGACGAAAGAAGTTTACAAAATGAGCCATAGGACCCTTGACAAGTTTGAAGTCATTGCCTCAAGGTAGCCTCCCTGCTTATGCCTTCTACGGCAAAGATAATCCAGAATTAATTGTTCTGCTGCTTGCAATTGCTTAATATATTTCATTTAAATACTTCATCAACATCATCAACATATCTACAACTGATTGAGAAAACTTTACGAATTTTATATCTATCACAAAGGATATAAGACATGTCAAATGTAAGCGCGGACAAAAGGACTCAAATTTTTTTACACTTTCATCATATCGATTCAAACCTAAAATTAACTCAATCGATCTGAGAATTTTCTTATAAATCATCCAAGAGGGGAAGACCATACGTAGATGACGTCTAATATATACATGTTTCATTCTATCTATCATTAGACAGCGCCTAAGCAAAGCGTAGCGTTGTGATCCAATACCTTTCCTGGTAACATTAGGTCTATCAATCCTACTACGGGTAGGCTAATTGAAAGAGAAACATTGTAAGATTTGGTAAGCTATAATTTACGATATTAGTTTGACGATAACGCTTTGGAGGCTTGTACACTTTTTTCCTAATTATCACCAATGCACACGTGATACTATGTACGATGACACTGCACTAATTTTTTCACAAAGGACATTATTCCTACACTTCATCTGCTCGTGTGTGTGCGATGTGTGTGTTATGTCTACGACTCGTTACGATCATAAAGTTAAAGCATCACTTCAATCAAGTTTAAAAATGTACATTATTTGTCTAAAATGAGATCTAAAGTAGACAAAGGGGACTCGAAATCATGGAAGATATTGATGTGCGGCCTCATACACAGAACCATTCAATAAGTCAATCTAACACTGATCCCGATTGATCTTCTGATACATTAGGTAATAATACATATTTTGTTTTTTTTTTTTAATTTTTTAATTTATATATATTATATTTATTTATTTAATGTAACTTTTTTCTTTCTATTTATTTTATTTATTTATTCGACCGCATTTCCGGCAAAAGGATATGTTAAGTTTGCGCGGACGCCTATGACACCCAGAAGAACTTGAGATAGACGCACCTTTTATTTTATCGGCTGATCCAGAATCACTTTCGGAAACGGTCAACATGTCTGTTCGTCTGTACGACTTGTTTTGATGGAATTCGATACACTGGCATGGCCTGGTCCAAGGAGGAATGCTATTGAAGATTGTTCGGATCGGACCACCTTTCGATCATTTCCCCTATAAATGCTTATTTCCAAAAATGGTTATATGATTAACTGCAGGGTGCCTGCAGTAGGGTAGTGTTTTACTCTTTCTTTTTCTTATTTAATTCATTCATCTATGAATTCTATGTCATTTTTTTTTTTTTTTTTTTTTATATACGTATATGCCGGCAAAACATGTTATCTTGTTTTTCTATGATTAACTATTTCATATGTGATTCTAATAAACTTCAGTACTTTTAATTAACGAAATTGGTCAGTTTGCTTACTAAATCATCGTACTTGGGTAATTTTAGATACATTAAGCAAATTTGAACTACTTGTAGAATAAAATTATTATTAAGACTGAATCGAAGCGGGAGAAAAGCTCTTTAGTCAGATAAACAGATACGAATATTTTGATATGATTTTCAAATTAATAAAGAAAAAGTATGTAAAATGTCAGATTTGCTTCGCCGAAGTTTCAAGTTAATAATCAACTTTTACTTATTAATCTTCTTTTGCACATAAATGCCTCATGTGTAAATAAACACGAAAAAAAGAAACAATCTTTTTATATGCTCGCATAATTTAAAGAGTTTACGGTTGTGAAGATAAACATATACAATTATAAATATACGTATATTTGTGTGCGTATCTTATATACTTACTTATGGAAAGTCAATGCATATTCACACTGACACCGGGTAAAGAAATTTCGCTTTCATTTAAAAAAAAAAAAAAAAACATTTTTTTTCGCATTCAAATAAATATTTAACACTTTCAAGAGGTGAGTTATAAAAATTTCGTAATCAACTTTTTTATTGTTTTTGCTTTTTCGACTTAATGACCATATATATGTATTAAACGAATTTCATAATATGTAGGGAGAAAATTTTATATAATTTCGTAATGTATTATTCTTAAAGGCAAAATCAAAAAAAAAAATAAAAAAAAGATAATAAAAAAAATTTTACCAACCAAAAAAAAAAAAAAAAAAAAGAAATAAAACTTTTGAAAATTATTTTTTATTTTAGTTAAATATTTTTCATGAAAATATATTTTTTATTTATATATATTTTCGCTTTAAAATTATTATTTATTTTTATTGCATTTATTTAGCTTTTATATTTACACTCAATTATTTTAGTTTTTTCGTCTTATGTTATTTTTTTTATTTTTTTTATTTATTATTATCATTATTATTATTTTTTGTTAAAATTTCATTTTATTATTTATTAAACAGAATGATGAATTTAGTGTGTGTGTTACCGCAACCACAACAAACGTCACATTAATGAAATGGATTCTGACTGAAGACTAAACCCGTAGAACCACTGTCGAGGACTGGCCAGGTTTTTTTAAATTTTCTTTTTTGTTTTTTTTTTTTTCCAAGACTTCGTAGCGACGTTAACAACAAAATACAGCGTATGCGCCAATAAAGCAGCAAAAATAACAACAACGACAACCACAATAATAATAATAACAACAAAGTTGATGTTATAATGACGACGGCGACGACTACACGAAGACGTGTATAGAAAAAGAATTAAATCAATGTAAACGTAGAAAAGCAAAAAAATAAATAAATAAATAAAAAAGGAAGAAGATACTCTTAAGCAACCAGCAGCAACAGCTATAATGACTACAGCCACTGATTCAGCGATGACGACGAAAACCGTTGAAAAGAAAAAAAATAAATGCTTAAAAGTTAACAACCAAACAAGACAAGAAAGCAAGCAGGCAGCAAGCGGGCAAGCAGGCAGGCAGGCAAGCAATCAGGCAATGAAACAGTTGATTACCAATAGCCCAGAACCAATGGAGCTTAAACACACATAAGTATGTACGTCAACGGGATATGTTTTTTTAAAACGTAAACGTTGACGCTATAGCTTAAGCTTTACTTGCATTGCGCAGAGTCTTGCTTATAAAGAATGTCAAGTGATGTCGTTTTCATTTCGTTTGTAGTTTCAATGAAAGAGAGAAAAAAGGAAAAAATCATTTATCTAGACGTGCATAAGTCTGCTGGTTAAGCTTTATTAGGATGCGTCAGCGGCATAAGTTCTCCTCTGCGTATAATATGAGATTTTTACGAAAAAAATCTCTCTGCTATTGTTACTGTTAAAGTATACGTAGGATACATAAACGCAAGACTGGTTTACATTTTACTGTTGCTGTTGCTGTTGCTGTGTCGCTGTTACTGTCGTTATCGCAGTCGCTGCCGTTGTCGCAGTTGCTGTTGCTGTTGCTGCTGCTGTTGGCGTTGCTGTTGCTATTGCGATTGCTGCCGCTTTTTTTATGGCTGTTTACTATCGTTAGGCTAGTCAACTAGTGTTTGGATTTTCGTTCCTCTTTTGACAAACACGTTATTGTTGATGTTGTTGTTATGATTGTTGTTGTTATTGTTGTTTTATATTTCTCTCAGTTTTGTTTTGAGCTCTAATTTCTAAGCAAATGTTTGCGATTAGACGATAATAAGCATTTAAGTGCTTCTATGGTTTTTTTTTTATATATATTTTTTTTTTTTTCTTATTTAATCTTGCTTTCTTTTCTCTGCCCCTTTATGCATCGAAATACATGCTTAAGCTATATTATAATCTGTTTATCTTGTTAAACATATGTTTGTGCATATCTTTGTATATGTGTTTGTATAATATAAACAGATGATTGAATAAAAGTTAAAAATTTCTATTTCAAAGAACAAAAAAAAAAAAAAAAGAATAAAAGTTTGCCTTCTCTTGTGCATTTTTTCCCCCATTTTACTTAAGAGTGAAATTATTTGTACGTGTGAACAGAAAGATTTAAGACACAAACTTGCAATTTAAGAATATTTTCTCACAATTTTATCTTTGTTTTTCGGAGCTTCTAACTTTTCGATCGCAAATAAATAAACAAAAATTTATTACACTCTATCTACGTATATATATGCATGTATATATATATATATATATATATATATATATATATATGTATATATATATATATATATATATATATATATATATATATATATACGTATATAGACTTTGATAATTTGCGAGCTAGCTTACCTGGTGATGAAATCTCTCAGAATATCATTTGTCTGGAAAGAAAATAAGCAAAAGATAAGCTTTAATGAAATGCGATAAATTTTTAACGATTTTTTGTTTGTGTTCTACGGATATTTTTCAGATATGTACATATATATATATGTACACACATATTCATATCATATACGTGTGTATGTACATGATTTATTTCATGTACGTATATATAGCATCCATATATATATATATGTATACACGTACGTATGCATGGACCTATATAATTTACCCCATTTTTATATATATATAATGTATTTATGTATATCTGTGAATGTGTTCTGTGGTATTTATACATTTATATACTATAGATGGATACAGATGTGGTGATCGCATTTGTTCCGGTATATTCCATGGCAATGTTGATGTGTGTCTGATGGGATTCACTCCTGCAATTATACGTTCTGAGCTGCTTTCGCGTAGCGAAATAATTACTATGACCCATACGATGTTCAACAAAAAAGTGGGCTTTTCATTAGGTCACAAAGCACCCAAGGCATTGCTAATATTCTTTGGGTTCTAATAGAGAATTCTCCAGCTTCCCCCATATAGTTTGGATATTGAGACTTTTGCTTTTTGCAGAATACTTCGGGTGGTCAAAAGCCGAAACTATTCCAACAAAATAGGTCTCTTCTTCAAAAATTCTCAAAAATATCTCCATAAGCTATTCTTTGAAGCTTTTCGTTAAAAGTTCACTTGCCGACGCTTACCTGCACAAATCCGCCACGAATTGATGCAATCGCCTTACACTACTTAAGTACATTATTCGCGAAGATTTCATTAATTGAAAGAGTAATTGTTTTAAGTAATAAATTTAATTAAAACAATTAATAGCGATTATGTTAAGTGATGCTATTGAATAGCAACAATTTTTTTTCCTTCTTTTACAAACTACTAAATGTAGAAAGTCAAAGCAGTTTACAGCTTAGTAGAAAGAAAAGTTGAACAACATTTCAAAAATGTTTAATTTTTATGTCTTCTTATAGAAACATTAGGCAGCTTATGATGAAATCGATTAGGATCTGCTTTGGGGAATTAGATTGTTAGTTAACTTCAGAGAGATATTTAAAACGAATATAAGAATTTATGTTCGATTGAATTGATAATGTGCTAATGATAGGAGAGAAGATGAGCAAGCACATTTAAGAGGTTAATGTGATGGTTACGATTGATCATCGAGATTTAAATATCAAGATAAGAATGAAGACAACAAATATTTGCAAATATTTTAGAATGAGGTCATGCAGAGTCTTCATATTATTTCTATAAGGTCGTTCTTTCTATGCCAAGGCTATCGGATAGAGGGTATAGATCAAATGCTCGTGTTATAATCGGTTCAAGAGTAGAAGATTTGATGCATGATAAGAATGAATGGGTCACTCTTGGGTATAGGATGAGGAAAAACTATCTTTTTACGGGTCGAATTATCAGAGACTCACTGCACGGTTCACAAATCCTAGGCACGTGTCAGGTTGATTTTAAAGAAGCTACCAAAAAAAGAATCTGTCTACGATAAGACGACAAGCATTAAGATAGAAATGAGGGAATGCTTTAATTAATTCTTCTGTATTATAATAAAAGTTAGCATGAGTACAAAATTTTTATAGCGACTTTATGAGATACGTAGGTTTGCGACACACTACTTCTGCACTGACAATGTAAATAATTGAAGAAACATATTTAATGACTTTCGTCACTCTTCGCTTGAAAACAATACGAGTCAACAGCAACTGGTAGGAATCAAACGCTTTGGTTTAAACTGAATAGGATTTTTTTTTTTTTTTCGTTTTCTTTCCTTTATTAGATAGATAGACAACCAGATATCGTAACGCACAGCTTACTGTAATAAAATTCAAGAATTGCTTCGGTACTTAAGTTTCGAGTAACATATGTGGCGCAATATTGTGCTCTTATAATTATCTAGATTTATGATTTAATTGTAGAAAGTGTGGAATTCTAATTAATTTTTGCAAAACAAACCTCTTTCTTTGATGTTTGCTTTCGACTTAAATTGAATCAAGAATAAAAAAAAAAAAAAAAAAAATTAAAAAGTTAGCAACAAATTGTGAAATGTAATATCATACAATAGCAGTACATATAAACGCAGGTATGTAAATATATAAATCAAATACACGTATATAGAGGTATACACATAAATAGGTATTTGAGTATATAAGCATAAAAGTATGTAAGCAATAAACTTGTATATACAATGGTAGATATATGAAAATACGGACATATACACTTGTAGACGTCGAGATATGAAGATATATGCAGATATTTTCGCCTGTTTGTGGATTGAAGTAGTAACAGGAGGGCGTATTAGCTGGAAAGGTTGGAAATATTCCTCAGTTTTCTGAACGCTATATATTGGAACAAAGCGACAGGAACTCGGCATCCGAATCCATAATCTCGTTCGAGGAGGGAGATTTATGATTATGTAGTACAACCGCTCATTATGATGTAACGACGAAAGGCCATCAGGCTGCTTTTAACCCTGAATGTATACTATCTGAGAATCCCGACCTGACTACACTATCAATTTCATATTCTGTTTGTTATTGCATTTAAGACCCTCGTTCTATAGAATTAGATAATGTGGTAATAAGGTTGGTGTTAAGTAATAAAGGATAAAGAAGCGAAAGAGAGGATATAAGGTAGGTAAACTAAGTTGGAGAACTGCTATTGTGATAAGGAATCTACATCTCTTACGTTATACACTACAATTAGACAGTGAACGTACGTTCAAACCTACTTCACATAAATCAATTACATAAATCAAATGAGATAAAACAAAGCAAGACTGTATAATTTTCAGATAATACTTTGCCGAAAAACTGAAGACGAATGGATTAAAGTCCATCCACCCCAGAATGAACCATACAAACCAAATTGACACAAGATATTTCATCTAATCTGGTACAATGGACATCAAACCTAATATTAAAGGACTCGAATCGAAAAGTAAGATTCGGATTCAGACCATCCATACGAATGCATTCTTCTCCAATACACGATTGAGGTCTTCTTTAAGCGTGTATTTAAATCCTGAACCCCAGCCACTTCCTAACGTAGAGCATTCATTTGACACTCGGGTTATTATTAGATATAAAAATCTGGTTATACAGAATCGGATAAGATTTACGATAAATGATATTTTGTTTTTAATTTTTTTGGACGCAATCCAAATTAATCGCTATGCGGCACTCGTGGTGTTCCTATTCTAGAATCGCTGCTGGATTACATCGGAATGGGGCTCGTGCATGATATACTCTGTGTATGAGCGTATATATAAAGAATAACGATGTATATGCCTAATATGAATACAGGTAAATACCGTTGAATCCTTTCGTGTAGTATCTTTTAATCCCAAGGGAACTTTTCTTTACAGGCAATATATAAACACGTGCCACAAACACTTGTGATGTGATTTCTTTTAAAGGATATCAGTGAACAGTGGTAAGTGCTACCTGATAAATATATATTGCATACTAGATTATAAATGCAAATACAATTGTACATAAGATACTTGAATTAATTTCCAGCGACTTTTTCTTTTTTTTTTGGTTATAAAGTTCACTTAGTGTTTAAAATATTGTCCATCACTAGCTGTGAGTCTTTATTTTTGGACTAAATAACCTGCATCGTGAGACAGGAGTAATCGATTTTTTGAATAAGTATAGAAGGCAAACCACTGTTTGAGTTCCCCGGCCACGTTAGAGCTAGAGGTTAGAAAGAGCTGCAGTTGCGCTAAAGAAACAATTTAATTTGGTCACGTTGTCCTAATCAGCTATTAATGTTGATTGAAAAACTTTTCAAAGCTTTCAAAAGGCTTCGCTTGCTAACCGATTAAACTCCTTCGTCTCTACACTTTCGGATTGGTTCGGAGAGCAAACGATAATCGCGCTTATAATCAGCGTTTCAGCAGCAATTTAAAGCGATAAAATTTCTAGTGCATGCTACTTTAATGATTTGAAAACAAAAAAAATTGTTGCCTTGAAATAACTTATGTCGAGTTCACCTTTTAACGATTTAAGCGACGATCTCATGTACATAAAGTGAAATGAAATGTAAATGAAGTGAAAGAAATTAAATCAAGTTCATTATGTATATATATATATGCGCACATATATATATATATATGTTTATATATACATATAAAATCTGATTCTAATCAAAATAATTGCTACAATAAAAAGGAGCAAACATTTGTTTATTCTTTAATTTTAAAGCCGAATGCCTTTTGGCAAATTTATTGTTTTGAGATCACGGTACGTGCGAGCATTGTTTTCATTTTCCACACTAATGAAAATGAAAGGAATCAACATATAAAGAGACAGTAGAAAAAAAAAAAAATGAAAACAAAGATCAAAGAACTATAGCAAAGAAACAAAAAAAGGATGCAAATCACACAACAAGAAAGCAATTGCAACTGAAGAGGCAAAACCAACCACGACTACTGCTATAATGTCAGCTAGCCAGGCTGTCGGTTGGCTGGCTGGCTAGCTAGCTAGCTAGATAGGCAAACCAAAGCTTTAATACATCGTTAAGAGGCCACAAAAAATAAAAAAATCAACTATAGTCATACACAACCAATGCCAACTATTAAAAATCATCATTATCGTTTGTATTATTGTTACTGATGCCGAAGTTGTGTTTGTTGTTCGATTTTGTTGCATGCAACATTTTCCAATCGAAACGTTTCGAAAAAAAAAAAAAAAAAACAAAACACGAAGAAGGAAAATAGCCAATATTGTTAAAGATTGGTGTTTTATATACTTGCAGGTTTATTCATATAAAGACATGTAGTAGGAATTCATATGCCTCGCTGTACGTAAATATAGGTATGGTTTTCGAAATTCTATGTGGATAGAAAATTGTCTGCATTTCGGTTTTGCGTTTCTTTATAGTCTAGACAATTGCTGCCTTTTATTTAGTTCTATTGTTAATTGACTGCTCTTCTAGAAGCAGTTCATATAAAACGAACCCCAAAAAAAAAAAA